CAGTTATAAAGGGAGAAACTGACAGTAATACAATTATAGTAGGGGACTTTAATACTCTTTAAATCAATGGATAGGGGGCACCTGGGTGGCTCAGTGGTTTAAGCCTCTGCCTTCAGCTCAGGTCATGGTCTCAGGGTCCTGGGATTGAGCCCCGCATCAGGCTCTCTGCTCAGCAGGGAGTCTGCTTCCCCCTCTCTCTACCTGCCTCTCTGTCTACTTGTGATCTCTGTCAAATAAATAAATAAAATCTTACCCCTGCATCAGGCTCTCTGCTCAGCAGGGAGTCTGCTTCCCCTTCCCCCTCTCTCTACCTGCCTCTCTGTCTACTTGTGATCTCTGTCAAATAAATAAATAAAATCTTAAAAAAAAAATCAATGGATAGATCACCCAGACAGAAAATTAGCAAAGGAACACTGGCTTTGAATGATACACTAGACCTAACAGATATACACAGAACATTCCATCCACGAGCAGCAGAAGACATATTCTTTTCAACTGCACAAGGAACATTCTCCAGGACAGATCACATGTTAGGCTACAAAATAAGTATCAATAAATTTAGGAAGACTGAAATGATACCAAGTATCTTTTCCAACCACAACAGCATGAAACTAGAAATCAATTACAAGAAAAAAAATTGGAAAAACCACAAACACATGGAGGCTAAATAACATGGTACTAAACAACCAATGGATCAATGAAGAAATCAAAGAGGAAATAAAATTTACATAAACATGAAGATGAAAGCACAATGATCCAAAATCTTTGGGACAAAGCAAAAGCAGTTCAAAAAGGGAAGTTTGTAGAAATAAAGGCCTATCTCAAGAAACAAGAAAAACTACAAATACACAACCTAATCTTACATCTAAAAGAGCTAGAAAAAGAACAAACAAAACAAGTAGAAGGAAGGAAATAATAAAGATTAGAGTGGAAATAAACAGACAAAAATAGAACAAAAAAAACCTCAGTGAAACCAAGAGTTGCTTCTTTGAAAAATTAAACAAAATTAATAAATCTTTAGCCAAACTCATCAAAAAAAAGACAGATGACTCAAATAAATTCAGAAATCAAAGAGAAGTAACAATGAACACCACAGAAATACAAAGAATTACAAAAGAATATAAATAATTATACATCAACAAATTAGACAACATAGCAGAAATGGATAAATTTCAAGAAACATACAATTTTCCAAACTGAATCAGGAAGAAATAGAAAATCTGAACACATCAATCACTAGTAATGAAATTTAATCAGTAATCAAAAAACTTCCAAATAAAAGTACAGAACCAGATAGCTCCATGGGTGAAGTATACCAAATACTTAAATAAGTGTTAATACCTATTCTTCCCCAATTTTTCCCAAAAAATATGAGGAAGGACAACTTCCAAATTCATTCTATGGGGCTAGGATTACCCTGATACCAAAACCTGAAAAGGACACAATATAAAAGAACTACAGGCCAATATCTTCAATGAACATAGATGCAAAAATCCTCAACAAAATATTAGCAAATTGAATTCAACAATACAATGAAAAAATTATTCAGCACAATCAAGTGGGATTTATTACAAGGACACAAGTATGGTTTAATATTAGCAAATCAACCCATGAGATATATTCCATTAACAAGAAGAAAGATAAAACCCATATGATCATCTCAAAAGATGCAGAAAAAGCATCTGAAAAATACATCTGTTCATGATAAAAACTTTCAACAAAGTGGGGTTAGAGGGAACATGCTACAATATTATAAATGCCATATGTGAAAAACCCAAAGCTAACATAATACTCAATGGGCAAAAACTGAGAGCTTTTCCTCTAAGATCAGGAACAAGACAAGATGTCTACTCTCACCACTTCTATTCAGCATAGTACTGGACATCTTTACTGCAGTAATCAGATAAGAAAAATAAATAAAAGGCATTAAAATTCATAAGGAATAAGTAAAACTGTCAAAATTTGTAGATGACATGATACCATATAGAGAAAACCCTTAAGGAGTCCACCAAAAGCTATTAGAACTGATAAATTAATTCAGTCAAGTTGCAGGATATAAAATTAATACACAGAAATCTGTTGTGTTTCTATACAATAAAAATGAAGCAACATAGAGAGAAATTAAGAAAATAATCCATTTACAATTACACCAAAAAGAATAAAATACCTAGGAACAAATTTAACCAAGGAGGTGAAAAACCTGCCCTCTGAAAACTACAAAACAATTAACGAAAGAAATTGAAGATGACACAAAGAAATGGAAAGAATTCCACGCTCATGGATTGAAAGAATTAATGTCAGAATGTCCACACTACTCAAAGTAATCTACAGATTCAAACTATCCCTATCAAAATACCAAGAACATTTTTCACAGAACTAGAACAAGTATTCCTAAAATTTGTATGAGACCCCAAAACACCTCAAATAGCCAAAGCAATCTTAAGTAAAAACAACAAAGCTGGAGGTATCACAATCTCAGATTTCAAAATATACTACAAAGCTGTAATAATCAAAACAGTATGGTACAGGCAAAACACAGACACACAGATCAAAAGAACAAAGAGCCTCGAAATAAACTCACGCATACCCAGTCAATTAATCTAGGACAAAGGAAGCAAGAATATATGATTGGGGAAAGATAATCACTTCAATAAATGGTGCTAGGGAAAAAAAAAATGTGGGGCTCAGCCCCAGGACCCTGGGATCATGACCTGAGCCAAAGGCAGACACTTGACCGAGCCACCCAGATGCCCCTAAAATTAAGTTTTTAAAACACTATAAAAATTCCCAGATCAGAAATAAAGCAGAGGGCATCTCTATATTCATATAATTTTGATTAAAATAATGTATTTAAAGCATTCTCAGTCAAAATGGTAAGGTCACAATGTCTTGTAACTGTGGCCAGACTATGAAGTGAGCATAACACAGAAAATGTATTGGAATTGTGATCATAATTACAAATATTCTGGTCATAAACATTATACAAATAATTTAAGGTACAACAAATTAATTTCTTAAAATGGTCCTTGAGGAGAAGGACTTGGAAGAATGTATAACACATGAATTTTTCATAGTCAGCCTTGGAATATAGCTATATGGAAAAACCCTTATTGTGCTTATTAGAAAACATGTCCTTATTGGAATACAATCAAGGAAAAGGATTGCGCCTTGCTTCCGACTTTTCACATAAAACAAGCATGATGCACTTATTATCACACAGTAAATATTTGCTGAGCTAAATTAAGCTGCTTGACTTCTAATAGGACTCAGGATATGATCCCTCTCAGATTTGATGTCAGTTAAAACTATGCCCATATAACTATAGCCAAGAAATAATTTCAAAGACCAAGGGTGAAAGAGTTTGGATTCTGGACTCTGTCAGACCTATGTTTAAATCTCAGTTTAGGGGCACCTGGTTGTTCAGTCGGTTAAGCAGCTGCCTTCGGCTCAGGTCAGGATCCCAGGGTCATGAGAAGCAGGAGAACCTGCTTCTCCCTCTGCCTCTCCCCATTTGTGTATTGTCTTTCTCTCTCAAATAAATTAAAATATTTTAAAAAATAAATCTAAGTTTGGTCCCCCACTGATCAAGTATATTAATTTTGGTGGATTACCTAGCCTGTTCGAACTTTCCCTCTTTAGAGGCAAGTTTCCTCATTTGCAAAAGGGATGGTGATAATTTCCAGGGCACAGCATGTAAGGCTGGCGATGATAAAAGCAGCAGCTAACACTTAATTGTGTACTTACACTTGCCCAGCATTTTGCATGTGCATAATATAAAGAATATTCTCATCTAATCCTTTAACCAGTCCATCATGTTACTGCTATTCTTTTTTTTCTCCTTAGGTTATTGCTACTCTTAATTTACAAATGAGAAAACGGACGATTAGAAATTTGTCCAAGGTCATGTGTAACTGATGAGTAGGCCACGATGAGAAAAAGAGCCTGTGGTCTAATAACCATAGAACCTGATACATAATAAAGGCTCAATAAATGGAAGCTATTATAATTATTTTTCAACTACTAGATTGATCTAAATTATGAGTAGAAGAACATCATCATAGAACTATTTTCTATTTGAAAAAAAAGTAAAAGGAAAGAGAAATACACTCAAAATAGAAGTAGTAGTTGAGCAAAGAAAAATGTTCTGATTGGGAAACAGCAAAAGGAAAAAGGCAAGATTTCACGATCAACTACATGGCCAGAGAAGCAGGAAAGTGAAAACAGGAGCAGAGGTAAATCCAACAGCTTAGTTCATGGCTTGAGACGCAGAAAGGTATTTAGTGGCAATTTTTATTAAGCCCAAAGAGATTTTGGATATACATTTCTCCAAGGAAAACTTTGTCTTTGAAGCATTTAAAAGCATCTGAAAAAATTTACTTTTAATTCTAAGAGAAAGGAAATATGGACTAAATTAAGCTGTGATTAATAATAGTTAAGTTTGGAAAAGTCGACATTTTATTCCCTGGTGCTTTTAATTTGAAAAATCTGTCACTAATTACATATTTATAAATGTAGCTAATAATTTTAGTTTCTTCTCATGCTTGGCTGTTTTAAGGTTGTTTTTTTTTTTTAATGATTTAGTTATGTTCTTAATTATCCCTACAAGAAATGTGGCTATCTGGACCACAAAACTATTGATGAGATACTGCAATCCATCTGGTAATGGTGGAAGGAAATAAACAACTTCCTGATTTCTGACTGTTCAATGATCACTTTAAATAGGAACAAAACCACCAAGCATACAAAAAAGCATGTTGAATGATAATAGATTGGAGATAAAGGAGAAGGGGCTGAAGACTATGTTCAAGGGACATAGTCTACACTTGATAAATGTTTGCTGGTAGAGGGAGGGAGGTGGAAGATAGGGTGGGAAGGGGAAGAGGGGAAAACAGGGGATTCCAAAAAGAGCCATACAAAGAAATCCTAAGGAGCTTGGTGGGAGAGCAGATTTTATGCAAGTAAGGCAATATTTGCCAAGAGGAGTGTGGTCAAACTCTTACCTCAACCCACTGTAGAACAACCTCTTGTAGTCAACGTTTATTCTACTGATATTTTCTTTTATAAGACGTTCAATGGAATATAACCTGCCCACTTGCTGAAAACCAGGAGCTGCTTGTTTGACATATTCCCTGTCGAAAGCTGGCAACCAAAAAATCTGTAAGGAAAAAAAGGAAGTCACTCTGGATAATCAGCTCTCCAGGTACAAAGAGCCCCACGTAGAATAAATGGAGCCTCATTCCAGCACTGGTTAACAGTCTACAGGGAGTGGAGAGAGATTCTAGTTCTTGATGAGACGCAACTTGGCCTAATACTGTCTAATGAACTCTTATAATGGGGCTTTCACCAGGATTGTTCTGGAGCTGAGATTTCTCAGAGTTAACATCCTGAGTCAAAGACCCATTGTGTTTAGATAGCCTCACAGGAGCCAAAGTAGATGAGGGTTGGTAGGTGTGGATGAAAGGTGGGAATCATATTTCCTCTGGTTGATGACACTAAAAATCACCTTTGAAAGGGGTCATTTCCTGTCATCGGGGAATACTATAAGGATTCATCTGTTCAAATAGTTCCATTCGCAGGGAAACACATATTTGTTTCACTCAGCACTCTACCACATTCTGAGAACTTAAGAGATTTGGAATGATTGCTCAAGTGCAGAAAATTGCTTCTGAAAAACATGATGAACAAATCTCTGCTCAAATCTCTGAACAAATAAGAACCAGTTGTTTCTTCTGTATCATTAATTAAAGGCAAATCCTCAAAGCCTCAGTGTTGCCCAGGCCTCTTCTAATAGTTCTATGCCAGTGACGATGCAGGTCACATCACATAATCATTACACACATACTTTTTTTTTTAACAGAGTGCTGTTATTTCATTTGGTTTGGAGTAGCAAATAGCTTCCATGTTTTTCCTGCTGGGGAAAATTCAACTGGGTCATTCTTAGATTGCGACATGCAGCTACATAAGTAAAAACCTCCATTTCTACAGATAGCAAAATTATTTGGGCATCTCAGGGAAGATCTACAGGATAGGTCAAGCTCAACTGCTATTCTCCTGGGACATGTTACCCACCTCCCAAACTCTACCATGAATAATGAGGTAGACATACCAGATGTTGCTCAATTTTAGAGTCAAGGATTAAGCGTACTACACGGCGAATATATGTGCCTCTGAGAGGATGTTTTCGTGGAGGAGCATTAAGATCAAACATCACAAATTTTTTTTCCTTCTGTGCAAGTTCCAATAAATCGATTAGTTTTGGAATCGTCTGATTTTCTGCTCTTTCACGATCAGCCTTTGATAGGGCTTTCATTCTGTAAAATGGTTTCAACTAAAAACAAATACACCAAAGAATACATTGGTTCCTATCAAAAGCAGTTTCCAGTTTTCCTGTTCTATAGCCCCACTCCCAGACCTACCTCCATTTTGCTCCATTATCATTCCACCCACCAGACCCTCTGAAATACTGGTCTTGAGGTAAGAGTTGCCAAGGAGAGAAACTAAATGTAATCTTCATAGGTAATCATGGTATGTGGAATATTTCTTCTACACTGTACGACATGTGTTTGCACTGAAGTTCCTTCATATTTTTGTCTTGACCTTCCTTTTCAGCTTTTTTTTCTATAACTTGAGATAATAAAATAAAATCTCTTTTCATAAAAGTCACACTGGCTTCCCACATTTGCTCTCTCTAGTTTTATGTAATGGAAAGAAAATAGACTCTGGCTTCAGATTAAATTGGATTCAATCCCAACTCTATCATTCATTGGCTTTCTTTGATGAATCTACCTTCAAAATCTTTTTTTAAAAATATTTATTTATTTATTTGAGAGAGAGAGAGAGAGAGAAAGCACATGCAGAGGGAAGAAGGAGAGGGAGAGAGAGAAGCAGACTCCCTGCTGAGCAGGGAGTCAGACACAGCACTCAATCCCAGGGTACTGGGATCATGACCCAAACCAAAGGCAGACACTTAACTGACTGAGCCAGCCAGGCACCCCCTCCCCCACCTTCCTAAACCTACAGCTTAAGTGTTACCTCCTTCATGAAGCCTTCCTTAAATATTCCTGAACTAAAGACACTTCGATGGTATTAAACTCCAAAGGCTCATCTTTATGCCTCAGTTGCATGTTTCATTCTGCCTTCTACTTGTTTATGTCTCAGACCAGGTTCACATCCTGGTTTCATATGTCTCTTGTTGTGTAACCTTTGTAAAACCTTTAAATTCTCGAGTCTTTATTGCCCAAACTATAAAATGGGGGAGGGGAGAGGTAATCTATGTATTACTCAGGATTATTTTGGTGGTTTTTTTTTTAAAGATTTTATTCATTCAAGACAGGGAAATACAGAAAGATACACAGAGAGAGAGGATGAGTAGGAGGAGAGGCAGGGGGAGAGGGAGCAGCACACACCCTGCTGAGCTGGGAGCCCTACACAGGACTCGATCCTAGGACATGGAGATGGTGACCTGAACCGAAGGCAGACGCTTAACCAATTGAGCCACCCAGGAGCCCCTCTCAGGATTATTTTGAATATTAAATATTAAATATTCAAATAATTCAAATAATTAAATATTAAATATTCAAAAATAAAATACAGCATCTATGAGCATGTCTAGTACATAGAAAATGTGCACAATTCACATAGTTCCCTCACATCCTACTGTCTCTACTGGACTGTACCTCCCTTATAGCAGGAACTGTCATATTTTCATTCCAATACACCACATTTCATTTTACACCTCAGTCCATATGTATATTAGCTATATTAAATTTAATAGATGACTACTTTTATAGTCATTTGCCCATTTTAGATCATTTTGTAGGTGAAGTCAGTGATAAAAGGCTACTTCTAAGAAGGAAACAGGACATGAGTTCTTTCCACAAGAGGCAAGTAATCTCTTTTTCCTACACAACTTTATCTTTGTTCTTCTTCTTACCTTATTTCTTCCCCTTCCCCTGATCTCCTTATTCTCAGCAAAGAAATTATCAGATTGTACTGTAACCTCATGCTAGAACAGAAGTCGGGCCATAGAAATTAAGTTAAACCATGGTCTAGGTCTGAGCTGAGGTCTATTATTAAAGGTTTTCTCAATCCTCAGGAAAAGAGAAAATTTGCTTCAAAATATAATATACGGTTAGATTCTACCAGATCTAGACCAACTGATTCACTTAATTATTAGATCTTCATGTGGGGAAATTTTTTAAAAGAACAGAATGAGGGGAGGAGTCAAGATGGCGTAGAAGTAGCAGGCTGAGACTACTTCAGGTAGCGGGAGATCAGCTAGATAGCTTATCTAAAGATTGCAAACACCTACAAATCCAATGGGAAATCGAAGATAAGAAGAACAGCAATTCTAGAAACAGAAAATCAAGCACTTTCTGAAAGGTAGGACTGGCGGAGAAGTGAATCCAAAGCGACGGGAAGATAGACCGCGGGGGGAGGGGCCGGCTCCCGGCAAAAGTCTGTTCCGCTGAGGGACATCGCTCCAGAGGCTTAACCGGGGTGAAACCCACGCGGGGTCAGCGTGGCCTCAGGTCCCGCAGGGTCACAGAAGGATCGGGGGTGTCTGAGTGTCGCAGAGCTTACAGGTATTAGAATGGGGAAGCCGGCTACAGAGACAGAGCCGAGGAGTGAGCTCCCAGCTTGGGGTTACCTTGAACCAGTCACAGGCTCGGTCAGCTCAGAGTGGAGCGTAGCCAGAGGCCAGGGAGACAGGAGTAATTGGGCACTGTTCTCTGAGGGCACACTGAGGAGTGGGGCCCCAGGCTCTCGGCTCCTCCAGACTGGAGACTGGGAGGCCGCCATCTTCATTCCCATCCTCCGGAACTCTACGGAAAGCACTCGGGGAACAAAAGCTCCCAAAAGCAAACCCGAGCGGATTATTCAGCCCGGCCCCTGGTAAGGGCGGTGCAACTCCGCCTGGGGCAAAGACACTTGAGAATCACTACAACAGGCCCCTCCCCCAGAAGATCAACAAGAAACCCAGCCAGGACCAAGTTCACCTACCAAGGAGTGCACTTTCAATACCAAGGAGAGCAGCGGAATTCCAGAGGAAGAGAAAGCAAAGCACGGAACTCATGGCTTTCTCCCCATGATTCTTTACTCTTGCAGTTACTTTAATTTTTTTTCTTTTTCAATTTTTTTTTCTTCTGCTAAATTTTT